GGCAAGAGAAAACGAATTCGATTGCTGTAGTCTTGATAAGGCATTGTGATAGTGAGGGGAATAGGGATGATAGCTCTTGTGACGCTTGGGTATCGGGTGATTCGATAGGCTCAAAGCAAGAAATGGCAACGCCGGTGAGTAATAGTCGATGAGCCGCATCTTGGCCTGCGAAACCCGACTCGCGAATTTGGCGTACAAGGCGGACGGGCTTCTTCTCTGATAAAGTAGACAATTTGTGGCGGATGTCCCGCACAAAAAGCTGATGGTCATGGTCATACAACTGATCAACAGGAAACAACGAAAGCCACTTCGTCAGCACTTTCTCGAAGTCCTTGCCCGGTTTGTAGGACGAGACGAGTCGACGTTTGACAAGCCTTTTGGTGGGGGAATCATAGCTCATTGTGTCTAAGAGCTCCTCAACTTTACGTATGGCTTTCCGTGCGTCTTTACGCGACCTCACCATGTCTTCAAAATTTTCCAAGGCATTCAGAATGCCAGTTAAAGTGTTCACATCTGGCGTCTCACTCTTCTTTTCCATTTTTCTCTCGATAGACCGCAAATCGGAGATGAGGATGTTTAACACCTTCTCGCGCAGTGCATTCAAAGTTTCGATCTTGAGGTTACAATCAAAGTGCTGCTGGTGAGTATGAAGTGTCCCTAAAGACAACACAAGCATAAAAAACCCCATTGCATCGAAATTAGAGATATCGTATTTTTGTATTGTTGCGCGTACTTTATCAAACGTTTTCTGGAAATATAAACTCCGCTGCACATCGGATGATACTAGAATACGGCCAATGATTGCCTTGTGGAGCTGGCGGAACGATTGGAATGGAAGAAGAGTCGACGAGGAATCCTCCTTTCGGATGGAAATAGCATCCGAAAGTTTCCATGGCTCCTCCCAGTCGCTTGTGATTTGGGTTGAGGACTTGGGTAAATCTGCTAGCCTTGTCATCAAGGTTAGGGTATCAGTATACATTTCTCCACAGCTCAATTGACCCGTAAGCATTGTTTGTTGAAGGAAGTCTAAGAGCATTCCTCTCTGGTGGCGCGGGATTAACCTAGTAGGGACACCTAGAAGGCTTGCAATTGAGAGATGTCTGGGGACTTTCTTCTTCTTGAGGTGATGGAGAATTGTATTGACAAGATCATATACCGCTGCAGGCGTCTCTAGGAGCCACTCGTTAGAAGTGAACGATTGCCATATTTCGAGTAACTGGCATTCAAGGCTCGAGCCTACTGCCTGCCTCGAAAGTGGATTTGAAATATAATATTCAAAACGCTCAACTGATGTGAGAAGGTTATTGAAAAGAAGGCTACGGTTTTCAGACGTAAGGCGAGTAACAGCCAGCGGTGTTGCCAGTAACACAGCGAGATATCCAACACAGACGGTTTGAGGAGAAACCATAGTGTCCACACGTCCATTCCATGCTGCTCCTGTGAATCTTGCAACTTGATTAAAAGCAGGTACAATTCGTGGCATTATTGCATTCAAATATTCGTTGTACTCGGGGAAGTCTTTCCTGCCTGCAACGAGCACCACAAATTTGAAAGCCTCAAATGCTTCGAGACAATCATTTCTAGATATATTAGTTGGAAACTCTTGATTGTGGAAGTTCTGTAATACGTCGATTGCTTTAGGTAACAAAGTGATGCTAAGGTCGACAGATACATCATCCGGCGTAGAAGAATGATGATCAACAAAGCGCTGGGAAAGGCGCCAGAGACGCCACCTCCAGGCCGGTTGCCGTTTTGACAAGACCAAGTTAGATACTATACGGAAGGCTTGAGCCAAAGATTCGCCTTGTAACATGGAGTCACCTTCTCGCAATCGTGGTTCCCAAATAGCATCAAGAAGCAAAATGTCCGCATAGTGCCTAGGGGCGTTTATTTCTTCGTCGTCAAACGAGTGTTGTGACAAAATGATTTGCAGATGATCCTTAGTTTGATTCTCAGAGAAGAGATCCGTTATCAAAGGCCTCAATGCGGCTGCAAGGTCGTCATCCTCCCAAACAAAAGGGTAGAATATATCTCTCCCATTTAACCGAGCAGCCTCGATCGACGTTAACTGCTCAGACCAGATATCGAGAAATGAACCAATAGCCCTGGCAGCCGCGAATCCACGAAGCAAAGGTATTACGATGGTGGTTTTGATAACTCCATAAGTCTCGTTTGGCATAACATTTGAAACTAGTGAAAACGATGTGATTCGATCGATAAGATTACTGAGCAACTTTTCCATCCCGGCAAATCCAGGGTTGGGAAGAAACACATCAACACCCGTCAGTATAAGTTTAGATATTAATGACCACTCCGTAGCCTGGTGTGCCTCGCCTCCAACCAGGCCAGAAAATCGGACAGCGTATCGTCTGATTGTGTCAATAGAAAGACTTGCTTTCCTATCAATGGTCACTTGGAAAAGGTTCTCGAGAACCGGGATATCCTTATGGGATGTGCTCCATGAGGGTTCATCAAATAGAGGGCAGCCAGCGATAGTTGAGAGTGCCACGAAAAAGGTTTCAAGCCAGGGCGCTTCATGAACTTGTCTCTTGAATGTGTCCCGAGGAACAGCACGAACAGCAACATCTAGCAAAGTGGGTAGTAACTCTGTATTCCAGCGGTCATTAGATCCGCCCCAACGGGAATGGACATCTTTAAGGACATGCTTGATTACGGAAGGATCGGGGCTATCATTAGTATCCATGGTCTTCATGGGGTCGATGGAGTAGAATGACTGGCGAAGAGGGAGGACGAAGTGAACAACGACGATACGTTCCAAGCTCTGTATCACATTCGTATTTTCGGCTGGTTCGGTTCCAATTTGCCGCAGAACCATAAGCAGATGCAACGCTTCGGAAAAGCAATATGAAGAAAATGTATTCTATATCCCAAAAAAAGTCAGTATACCTAAAAAGTCAGGTGAAAACAAATCCAAGCCACCTACATCGCTAGACAAGTTAGTATCGTCACCAAGTCGCTCAGAACTTAGCCTCCAAATATCAAACGTCGCAGGCAGCGCACGCATTAGCTGCGCATGTAATTCCGGAAACCTCTTATCCCACTTTTCCACTACTTTTCGGGTCAATACGAAGGATTGTCCAAGAATCGCCGCCGCAGTCTGGGGTTCCCCTCTCAGGACGAGTTGTAAGTGTGAATGGGATGTTGATTCAACCCCAGAAAACTCATTCGCCAAAGCAACAAGAGTTTTCACTGATTTCAACACGGCGCAAAAGGTATCAATCCATGACTCCCTTATAACCTCCTTCGGTTCCACGGAATCCAAGCCATTTTCAGTCCTCTTTCGCTTTTGGCCCCGTTTCCAGGCCTCTGAAACAGGAGATCCTTGTATTGTCGCGCTCGATTCAGAGTGTAGCGATTCTTGAAATTCAAGGTATTCGGGGGATGCGTTCGATGCATCCATAATATCAGTCAACGAATGTTTCAATATTAGGAGAAATTTGTGTTCATTGAGAATAAATGCTAAAGGCTTTATGGGGATGCGTTCTAACAGCTGCCGAAGAAGAATCCACGTTTGGGTGTGCAGTCTGTAGTTGGTCTGCAACTCCTCTCGTTGTGGTGAAGACGCCTTCAACTTTTTCATAAGCCATCGAAGAACCCATGCCTCCTTGGGTGCGGAAGGTTTCTGCTTTTTGTTGCTTTCCGCATCCTGGAACACTCCGATATACCCCGTTCCGTGGTTACATGAAGAAGATAAATCCGCCCCAATTATCCGCGCCGCTTCCTGTAGCTGGCTTGTTGGGTCACCCTTGCCTTTCTCAAGCTCAAGTAGAGCTTGATGCGCGAAAGACGAGGACTACACAAACCGTAAGGGAACATGTTAGCACTTCCGTTTACCTCAGACGTATTTAAACACAAAAAAATATACGATCCCTCACCTCCAGAGCCGGGGCCATAACGAAAGAGTAATCCCAGTCTGGGGTTGTCCTTATGTTGTATAGTCGGATCCCCAGCAAATGCATGTTTTTTTTATTCTGCCGTCCACCGCCGCCCTAACATTTTTCCGATCCGATCGCATCAGCTATTATGCCTCCAGTATATACAAATGATACCAGGCCTATAGTCCATCAACAGTGCCCGTCGCCCAATTGCTTCCTACATCACAGTAAGTCCAATTATGTTGTGAATCACATGCCAGCAGTTAACCAACAAACTCCTTCCCAGCTTCACAAATATGGCAGATTCCAACGAAACTCGGTCGGTGGTGCCCCGATCAACCAAGCCGCTCAGCGAAGCGTTGTTGAACGATAAGGTACGGATCGAGAGACAAAGTAAACGCGGATAAATTCCCCGAAAATATCTATTCCCTCGATACACCATATTGCCCTAAGATCTCCCGTATATATAATCTCGTGCGAAACAATCCAAATATGCTCTCAATTGACAGCTCCAATCACTAACACCGTGGAACCAAAATCAACCTGGACAATATATAGTGGGACCGTGCCATATCCTCCATGATAATCCGTTCCTCACTCGGTCTGTCGTTCGGTGTTATTTTTTCAGTCCTCTTATTCAAACGAAGAGCATGGCCAGCATTCGTCGGGCTAGGTTTCGGTGCCGGACGAGCATGGGAAGAAGCAGATGGTAATATCAAACTCCCTTTTAATGACTACACGTCCCTTTTTTTTTATATTTCTCTGTGAGCTGTGTTGAAGTGCTCCCACAGTCTCAAGGGCGGCTTATATACCACAATGCATATTATACCTTTACCTGATATACGCAACCGCGTTCTTTTTGCTTTGCTTTCATGAAGCCGCCTTCATTTGAAATTGGAACAAATACGGTAGCAAATTGGCTAACTACGTGCAACTACACAGCATCATTCCGGCGAGGGGACCAACAGTTGTATAATACGCATGCGTTCCGTCAAACAAAATCGTAAAGAGGAAAAGGTCAGGGCGATTATGGAGGCACAGGCGGAAGAAATGTCATTGGAGGAGAAAAAAATCCGCCTCAGTGAAAAAAGCCTAACTGTATAAAGGAGGAGGGGGGAAAATGTAATATTATACCGCCGCAAATCCTACCACAATCATACGATATGCTATTACTACAAAACAACCAAATATATATAGAGTTGAACTTGAATTAACCTGGTGTTTTCTGTTCTCTTTCGTTTGGTGATCTCTCTTGCAGCACTAAATTTCCCGGGCCACAGTTTTGCTCATTCACGTTTCAATAGTTACGTGAAGTT